TGAACGTGCCAGCACTCTCCGTCGCCTGCAGCCCCGGGCCGACAGCAATTCAGCTGTCCCCAGGTGAAGGCTTTGCTTTCTCCAGCTCACCGTCCCTGAGGTCCCCATCCGAGCAGTGCGGTGGGACCATGGAGGCATCCATCCCTGTGGGAGGCATCACAGCGTCTCTACTCTGCTGCTGCCTCTTGAGCTCTGCATGGGCTTTGGTAAGTCTGCGTGGTCCTGTGGGCTCCTCCAGTCCCTCTCCCGGCTTTAAATATTGCTAATTTTGCAATCCGCTCCTGTCGGGGGGCACGTGCCCTCTGGCTGCACGTCCCGCTTCGCAGAGCTGCCTGGCAGGAGCCGGGCGGGAGGGGAGAGCTTCTCCGCTCCCGCTAAAAGCTTTCCAGCGGCCATGGAGACACCATGACGTGATGGTTTTTCCATTTCTTGGACACATCCAGGGCAGGGTTCACTGCCTCAGAGGCAGCGGGGGAACAGAAAGAGCAGGGCAGTTTACGGTTAGTGCAGGCGAGGCTGGAGGGATGCGGTGAGGGCAGAACTGGCTGTACCCAGCGCATCTCCCAAAGCCGGGCCCCCACCCTGCTGATGCACCCCCAGGACCCCCACTCCTGCCCTACGCCCCTCACCAGCCCCCCCGTCCACCCACCCAGACGGCTGCCTTTGGGAAGAGCATGAACGGGAGTTCAGGGTCTCCTCTCTGGGGCAGGATTTGGCCGTGCTCACCTGTGGGCAGTCCAGGAGCCAACGCGAAGCCCCTGCATCCTGGCTCCTTTTCACTTCCAAAGCCATTTCCTCATCCCAGCTTCAAACTCCTTCGAGCATCTCAGCCCAAAACGTTCCAAAAGATGTTCGCACGTGTGGTGCGCCCGGGAGGCTGCAGATGCCGCAGGCTGCACCCGTCTGCATTGCGCTGCTCCCGGCGCTGGCCGCCCGCTTGTTTGCAGAGCCCTGGCCGGCCACTTTAACCAGGGGCTGCCAGACCCGGCTCTGAAGGGCTCATCGTGGGCGACGGGGACATCCAGCACCACTGGTGGGGTGGGCGAGGAGGAGCCGGCGCAGAAGCCTGACATGCCACTGATTTCTAGCACAGAAACATGGAAGTACATGCATTTCTCAGTGGACCACGGACGGGGTGGAAGGGGGGCTGGCGGTCAGCCTCAGCCTTGCAAGAGGGAAAAACGAGAGCAGGAAGGCAGGCAACGCTTTCCTCTTCCCAGTGTCGTTTGAATCTACCCAAAGCCGCACAAACCCGACCTGACTTGCCTGGGGAGGGTTGGGACAGCCCTGCCATGCCGTGGCTGCTCCCTTAGCTTTGCTTACCAGCACCCCCGTTTTCCACGCGTGCTCCGGTCTTCCCTGCCAGTCTGTTGCACCGGCTTTGACTCTCATTTCTTGCCCCAAGGATGGTCCTGCTTGATGCTGCGAGTCGAGTCTGCGGGCGAGACCACCACGCTGCGGGGTTCAGCAAAGTGTTGTTTCCATGCAGGAGATGATGTTCCCGTAAGGGCCCTCGAGCCCCTTGTGATTTTGGATTTGGTGTTAATTAGCTGGTTGGATTCAGGGGTTGGTGGCAGGGAGCAACGGGGTGTTTTGCAGCAGCAGAAGTGACGTGGGTCCTGCCCCGAGTCGGGAAGCATTTGTGGGCGTCTCATCAACCACCTTCGGGGTGCTGCTGGGAAAGAGCAGTTTTGCTCCCAGTTCCTGGATCCTGGCCGTGGGTGGCTCACGTCACCAAGCAGGCGGTGGCGGCTCTCTGGGGACATGGAGGTCACCAGGGTGGGTCAAGCTCTGTCAGAGAGGATTAGTCTCTAAATTGTGAGCACAAAGAGGAGACGTGAGCCGAGCTGCTGTCTGACACTGCTGGCCCAAGCCAAGCCACGTGGAGGCGGGGGTCGTCACTTCGGTTTTGTCTTGGCAGGTTGACCCCGATGATGTTCTCACAAAAGAAGAGCAGATCTATCTCCTGGTGGAAGCTAAGGAGAAATGTCAGAGAGACATAAAAGCCCAACTGGAGAACATCAAAGGTAGCGTGCGTCCCCTGCATATAGGTCAGCCAGCCCCGGCGGAGCTGGCTACGTTGTGGGAAATGCTTTCCCCTCCGATGGGAGCAGGATGGGGCCATGGAGATGCACAGCTCCGGGGCACCGCAGTGTCCTGGTGCGGGTTTGTGCAGTTCCTGGCACCGTGGCTGCTCTGGGCGCAACAAGGTGCTGATTAAGTCATCACCCTGATTAGCCAGCGCTGGCTGCTCTGTGCACACGGCAAATGAGGTGCACACGTCAAATGAGAGCATGTGGAGGGGCCTCAGCCCCCCCCCCAGGAGGAGGTGGGACGTGATGGGATGTGTCCCCCTCCCCGTCCCCCCCCTCGGCTCCCCCTGCTCTGCAGGCCAGGGGTGATCGCGTGGCAGCGCGTTTTCCTCGCCCTGGTCCAGCACACGCCTGGGGAAGCCGGAGGTTATGATGTGGCCCTGTTCGGAGCCAAAGTGAGATGTGCCTTTGCTCGTTGGCCAGACACCAGCTGCCTTCCAGAGTGGGACGGGATTATCTGCTGGCCGAAGGGCTCCCCCAGCCAGGAGGTGTCGGTGCCCTGCCCCGACTACATCTACGACTTCAACCATAACGGTAAGCGCTTGCACCCAGGCAGGGAGCGACCTCACCTTGGTGATAATCCTCCACCGAGCAGGGATGTGTCTGGGCTTCCCGCGGGTCCTGCTGCTGTCACAGCGCCTGTCGCCGTTCCCAGGTCATGCCTACAGGTACTGCAGCGCCTACGGGACTTGGGCCATGGCTCTCAGCATCAACAAGACCTGGGCCAATTACACCGAATGCGCTCTGCTCGTCTCCTCCGAGAGCCGGAGCCGCGAGAAGGTGACCTTGCTCATCAGAGGTGCTGGGAAAAGGGGTTGGGATGGGGACCAGGGAAGCGTACATCAAAGGCCAAGGGAATTGCTGGGAGCAGGGGACTCTTCCCCCTCCGCTCCCCAAACACGCCCTGCTCCTCCCGTGCTCTCAGCCCAGAGGCTGGGGGCAGAGCGGGGGCCCTGGGCTGCAAAGGGGTGGTGGAGAACAGCCCTTCTCTTCCAGGAGGTGTTTGACCGACTGCACCTGATGTACACCGTCGGCTACTCCATCTCCCTGGCCTCCCTCATTGTTGCTGTCTGCATCCTCTCGTACTTCAAGTAAGGAGGACCTGAACCCCCATCCCCGTGTGGGGGAGAACCATCTTCTCCCCAGCACCTGCACACACGACCCCCCGAGGGAGAGCAGCCCCTTAGGGAATGGGAACAAGCCCCAAACCCCAGCACAAACATCAGACCATTTCCCAAAGCCCCAAAACACCCCCAGTATGACCAGCTCCCCATCCCCTCCACCCTGCTCTCGAAGGGGTTGACACCCCGCCTGCCCCCAGATCTGGCTTTTGTGCCCGTGGGAGGGCTGACACCTTGGAGCTCACCTTCTCTGAGACCCCCCCCACTGCCTGAGCCCACGTGTGATGAGCTTGTTGGGCAGCCAGGGCTGGGCTCGTGTCGCACCCCTTCTCCGCAGGCGCCTGCACTGCACACGCAACTACATCCATGTCCACCTCTTCACCTCCTTCATCTGCCGGGCAGTGAGCATCTTCGTGAAGGACATGGTGCTCTACTCGGGCACACTGGCCAGCGAGATGGAGAAGATGCGGGAGGACGACTTCAAGGCAGAAATGGGTCCCTCACCGGGACAACGGAGCCACCTGGCAAGTGGCGCGCCAAGACCGGAGGCAGGATCAGGGGAAAAGGGGATTTAGGAGCCCTGGTGCGAGGGGATGCGCTTGGGACCCTCTCAGATGGGGGCTGTGCTGCTCAGGGGTGATGCAGCCGGGGAGGGATGAAGGGCCACCTACAGCTCTGCCCAGCTTCGCCGCATCCTGGTCCCACAGTACAGATCACAGCCACAGAGGACACGGGTCTCGCAGTCTGTCTGAGCTCAGAGTGCCCTCGTATGGGAAATACCTCTCCTATGGGAAACATCTAGAGCACCTGCTCTACATCTGATGCTGGAATATCCCAGGGAGATGTAGCTCCCTGAAAGAGGAGGAACATGAGCCACGCATGGGGCACAGCCGGGGTTTTGCTGACCGGAGAGCAAAAGCCACCGCGTTTTGCTTTCAGGGGACAGCCTGATATGGGCATCTCTCTGCCTGTATATCCACAGGTTGGCTGCAAGGTGGTGGTGACTCTCTTCCTCTATTTTCTGGCCACTAACCACTACTGGATCCTGGTGGAAGGTCTTTACCTGCACAACCTGATCTTCATGGCCTTCCTCTCCAACAAGAACTACCTGTGGGTCCTCATCATCATCGGCTGGGGTAAGCATGGACCCCAACCCAATGCTGTGGCTGCTGAGACCAGCTGGGAGCTGTGGCATCAGCCATGGCTGAGTGGCACTGAGTGCCCAGATAAGGGCAGTGCGCTGCAGACCAGCTGCCAGGAACCGGTTCGGTCAGCAAACGTGATGCTTCGTCCGTGCTCCTCACTCTGGTTCCTGCCCCTCCAGGTCTCCCCGCTGTGTTTGTGTCTGTCTGGGCCAGCGTCAGGGCCTCCCTGGCGGATACAGAGTACGTAGGTCCACCTTCCCCGACAGGCCTTTGGGGAGGGAGAGACTGGTTGCAAATGCTAGCAAAATATCTGTGGGCACCAGAACTTTCGAAAATGAAAGAGCAGTGAATATACGTACGAGGCTTGTTCTGCGTTTGGGAGGAAGATGGATGCAGGTTTACACCTTAAATTGATGAATAAACAGTGCAAAGATGAATGCTAAAGGGCATGTTCTCAAGTGAAGCATTTTAAAAGGAGAAAGGCCACCAAACGTACAACAGGACTTTTAGATGAGTTGGCCAAGGAGCCCTCGGGAACATTAATGCTAATTTAAAACTGATTTGCAACGCCATGACGTTTATGAATGCTTGTAGCACGGCTGCTGTTGGATCAAGATTTACACAAACTCCACAAAGGGAGCGAAGGGTGGGAGGCCGGGGATGTCGGTTGGGGGGTACAGGGAGATATCAGCCGGCAATCTTCCTTACCAGTGATTTCAGGTTTCTCCAAGGTGTTTCTTTACTGGTCTCTTCAGGTGCTGGGACCTCAGCGCGGGGAACATGAAGTGGATTTATCAGGTCCCCATCTTGGCCGCCATCGTGGTAAGAATCCCGTGGCTGAATCTCCCAATCCCTTTTGGGGAAAGGGGATCGATAGAGACCCAGAGCCGTTCGCTTGTGGTCACTGGGGTTGTATCCCCAGCCACCCCGGCACGCAGGGAGGGCCCATGTGATGCAGAGGGATCCAGGGGCACTGGTTCCTCCCCGCTCTGAGCACAGCATCACCCCCATGTCCCTGCCTGCAGCTCACCCAGAACTGCCTGTCCTTATCCCGGGGGGCTGCTCGGGCAGACCCAAGGTCACTGCGGGCAACAAAACCACAGCAGGCGTCTGTTGGCAGGTGAACTTCTTCCTCTTCCTCAACATCGTCCGGGTGCTGGCCTCCAAGCTCTGGGAGACGAACACGGGGAAGCTGGACCCCCGGCAGCAGTACAGGCAAGTGCTGGCAGCAGCAAAACCATGCCCCGGCCCTGGTCTGGCTCATTTTCCGCCTGTTTAGCTGAGACGGCTCCCCAGAGGGTCGTGGACGAAGAGCAGAGGCGCGGGAACGGCTGCAGGAGCGAGGGAGGGTGGCAGCCAGCGCTTCCAGCAGCTCAGTTTGAAGCAGCAGGCTCAGAAGTTCAAGCTCTGCCTGCTCCCTTCTCCAAGCTGGACACCGTGCAATAGCTACGCAGAAACCAGCTGCGGCAGCAGCAGAAGTTAGAGCGACCGCCCTCTTCACTAGGACACTTACCAACGTCTGCAAGGGCGCTGCAGGCTGGCTGGCAGGTCCTGGCTAACGGCTCAGAGCATTTCTCCCCTCAGGAAGCTGCTGAAGTCCACGCTGGTGCTGATGCCGCTTTTTGGAGTCCATTACATGGTGTTCATGGCCATGCCCTACACCGAAGTCTCCGGGGTCCTGTGGCAGATCCAGATGCATTACGAGATGCTCTTTAACTCCTCCCAGGTATGTCGACACGGGGCTGCCGGCCCTGCTCCGAGCACCGAGCGATGCTCGTCTGGGGAGCGCGGAGGCACACGTACAGCATCCCGGCTCAGGACTCAAACTCCACCTCTGTCTCTTTTGGCAGGGTTTCTTTGTGGCTTTTATTTACTGCTTTTGCAATGGGGAGGTAAGTTCGAACTTACAGGGAGCTGAGCAGGCTGAACAGCATCCCAGCTCCCTGTTCCAGCCCCTTTAGGGTTGGGGAAGTTAGCCTGCAGCCCCCAAGCTGGGATAACCAGAGGGAAAAACTCAGATCCATCCCTCTCAGTAGGATTTGGAAAGGAAAAAAAAAATACTAGGAGTAAAACCCATGGGGAAGCGAAGGGATGCCTGTTTTGCTGTCTCAGGGTACCATGAGCTATCTCCACTCACTCC